GTCATTACCTTCACTGGAGGTCTGCTGGAGAAGAATTCTCTTTGTTTTTGTCTGAGAAATGACTTCCCTTTCATTTTTGAAGGACATTTCACTGGTTATGGAATTCTAGATTGACCTTTTTTTTCCTCTCACTACTTTGAAGATGTTATTTGATTGTGTTGGGCTCCAATTATTTTTGACTGGGAAGTTTTTAATCAATCTAGTACTTGTTACCTTGTCATATAATGTGTCTTTTTTCTGTCTGCTTAAACATGTTTCTCCTTATTACTGGTTTCTAGCACTTTAATTATGATGCACTTTGGTGTGGTTTTCTTTATCTACACATTGGTACAGTTCAGGTTCTTAGATCTATGTGTTTATAGTTTTAGTCAAATTTGAGAAAGTTTTTTTTTTTTTTTAAAGATTTTATTTTTTCCTTTTTCTCCCCAAAGCCCCCCGGTACGTAGTTGTGTACTCTTCACTGTGGGTTCCTCTAGTTGCGGCATGTGGGACGCTGCCTCAGCATGGTCCGATGAACGGTGCCATGTCCGTGCCCAGGATTCGAACTGACGAAACTCTGGGCCGCCTGCAGCGGAGCACGCGAACTTAACCACTCGGCCACGGGGCCAGCCCCAAATTTGAGAAAGTTTTGACCACTTTTTCTTCAAATATAGTTTCTGTTCTTCCTCTTCTTCTTCTTGGCCTCCAATTACACTATTTTAGACTACTTGATATTTGTCTATAGTTCATTGATTCTCTATTCCTCATTATTTCTTTTTTGTCTCTGTTCTTCAGATAATTTTTATTGCTAGGTTTTCAAATTGACTTGTCTTTGCTTCTGCAGTATGTAATCAGCTTTTAATCCCATTCAACAAATTTTTCATTTCCGATATTGTATTTTTCAATTCTACAAATTCAGCTTAGTTTGTTATAGCTTCTCTCCTTTTTTTCTCATCGTGTTTGTGTTTTCCTTTAAATCTTAAGTCTATTTAGAATAGTTGTTTTAAAGTCTTTGTCTGTCACTTCATATCCTCACTTCTAGGTCTGTTTCTATTGATTGATTTTTCTCCTGGTTGTAGATCACTTTTTCCTCTTCTTCATGTGTCTAATATTTGTTTTATGATTTTTATGGTTTTGTATGTCTAGATTTTGCTATCTTCCTTTACAAGTCTTAAATTTAATTTTGTATAAGCAGTTAAGTTACTTGTGGATCTACTTAATTTTTTGAAGGCTTGTTTTTTAGCTTTTTTAGGATGGATCAGAGTAGTCTTTATTCTAGAACTAGTTTAGCCCTACTATTAAGGCTTTACCTTTCTAGTATTTCTACGAAGTGCCCTGTGTGTTCAGTAAGGTCACCCCTATGGCTGATCAGAACTTGAGCATCTCTGCACCCTACACATGTGCAGCTTAGTATTCAGCAGTAGACTGAAGGGTTGTCTGTGAATTTTTCTGCATCTATTTCTCTGCTTAACATCCTCTCTGATACTACCCTCAAATTTCAGCTGTGTCAGCCTCCCCAATTCCAATATCTGTCTCTTCACCTCCGTGAGATCACTTTGCTCTACTTGAATTCTCCCTGCTCTGCAGTCTGGAAATTGTATCCAGGTCAAAAGCCAGGATCACTGTAGGGCTCACCTTGTTTATTTCCCTTCTTCTAAGGATCACAATCTTCTGATGCCTCTTGTCGGATGACCGAAAACATTGTTTTATAGATTTTTTCTAGTTTTCTACTTGTTTAGTGTGGGGAGGGCATTTCCCCACATCATATGTACTCCATCACAGCCAGAAGTGGAAGTCCTTCCATATATTGATTTTGTAAATGTTTATTTAGATGTATATTTATTATAATAGACTTAATATATGAATTCATTTTCATTTTTTTTAAAAGGTTTTACTTTTCCTTTTTCTCCCAAAGCCCCCCGGTACATAGTTGTGTATGTTAGTTGTGGGTCCTTCTAGTTGTGGCATGTGGGACACCACCTCAGGGTGGCCCAATGAGCAGTGCCATGTCCGCGCCCAGGAATCGAACTGGCGAAACCCTGGGATGCCGAAGCAGAGCACGTGAACTTAACCACTCAGCCACGGGGCCAGCCCCCTCATTTTCATTTTAAAAATCTAAAAGCAATATAAATATGCAGAATATAAGATACTAGTCACCTCACCTCTCTCATTTCATGTGAGTGAACTGAGTAACCATTTTTAGAAATTTGTTGTGCAACCTTCTATTCTCCTTTATATACTTTATACATTTGTATACACATGTGCACCTATATGCAGATATATATGTATTTTTTTAACATAAATCACACTGTAAGTGCTATTCAGCAGCATACTTTTTCACTTGGTAATACGTCTTAGAGATCTTGCTATTAAAGTGCATATCAGTCTTACTTTATTCTTTTAACGTCAGTCATGTATTCTACAGAATGGTTTTCCTATCATGTATTTAATCACTCTACTTTTCACCATCAGTAAGGTTTTCCCTTCTGATTTTTTACGCTTATAAACTGTATTTTTATAGTATTGTACAGCAACTCTACAGATGGCGAATATTCTGTAGAAGAAATCACAAAGATGTGTCAAATTGTATACCTGTTTTTAAATTGCCTTCCCAAACAGTTTTTGCATATTTATATTATTCCTAAATAATAAGACCCAGGGCCTTTTGAAGAAATGATTAATTCCAGATCTAGGACAGGAAATAAAAGAGATAGATCTGGAACACCCTATCATAACAGAAAGGAGGGGAGTTAAGAAAAGTTACCGTGGTCATATCAAAAGATACAGGACTCAGTTTGAAGGAACTATCATTGGTCAAAGATAGGACATTTTAGGGTGAAAAAAGACTGCTATGATTGAAAAACATCAAGTGTGTTCAAAAGCCAAGAATCATAAGGATACAAACCAAACCAAACCAAACTAAAAACCACATTGGCTACCTTTGGAGGGAGCTAGGGGATAAAATCATTATTCTGAGTACTGGTGAATAAATGAATCATGTATTTATCCTACTCTTCCTGTACAAATCTTATTTCAAAGTAACCAAATAATTGAGAGGAATTTCTTTATAGAAGTCTATTAATAAGTGAAGAAGGATTAACCGAATCAGGCTACCACAAGTTTGCAACCTTTATTTTTTTTTATTTTTTTTTTTAAAGATTGGCACCTGAGCTAACATGTGTTGCCAGTCTTTTTTTTTGCCTCCTTCTCTCCAACGCCCCCCAGTACATAGTTGTATATTCTACTTGTAGGTCCCTCTGGTTCTGCTATGTGGGATGCCACCTCAACATGGCTTGATGAGTGGTATTATGTCCACGACCAGCATCCGAACCAGCGAAACCCTGGGCCGCTGAAGCAGAGTGAGCGAACTTAACCACTCAGCCATGGGGCTGGCCTCTGCAACCTTTATTAATTGGGAAATAATATCTCTAGAAAATGATCATCAATGGCTACTGATATCCTCAGATAAAAGATGGATAGGAAACATTACAATAAATGGATCCAGCTGCATTGAACTCACTGATCAAACTTAATATTGCAGAAAGAGAGACAACCAGTTGTTATATGACAGCTGATAGAATGCAAGAGGAAATACACAGCTTTTCAAAAATTGAACCTGTTCAAGGTTCTCGATCTAACTATCACTTTATAGGACATACAGAGTGAGAAGAATTTAGTAAATGACATCTCAGGGATGCTATCAGCCAAATGCAGAATTCTGGAAATTCTACAAAGATAAACAATCCAGTTTCTTCAATAAGTAACAGTCAAATAAAAAGGACGAGAAGCTGTTAGAGATTAAAAGAGAAAGGTAGGCAATATCAACCAAATGTAACATGTAGACCTTGTTTGGATCCTGATTTGAACAAACCAATTGTAAGAAGACATTGGAATAATCAGAGAAGTTTGAACAATCACTGGATTTTAGATGATATTAAGGAATTGTTAATGTTTATGTGTGATTAGTGTTGTGTTCATGTTAAAAATAGCTCTTATCGGGCTGGCCTGGTGGCGTAGTGGTTAAGTTCACACACCCCACTTTGGTGGCCCAGGTTTGCAGGTTCAGATCCCAGGCACAACCTGCATACTGCTCATCAAGCCACGCTGTGGCAGCATCCCACATACAAAATAGAGGAAGATTGGCACAGATGTTAGCTCAGCGGCAGTCTTCTTCAAGCAAAAAGAGGAAGATTGGCAACAGATGTTAGCTCAGGGTCAATCTTCCTCACCAAAAAAAAAGATAGATAGATAGATAGTTCTTATGTCTTAGAAGCAAAACTACTTTCTAGCGAAATGATATAAGCTCTGCACTTGTTTTTTTTTTGTTTTTTTTTTTTTTGAGGAAGATTAGCCCTGAGCTAACATCTGCTGCCAATCCTCCTCTTTTTGCTGAGGATGACTGGCCCTGAGTTAACATCTGTGCCCATCTTCTTATACTTTATATGTGGGATGCCTACCACAGCATGGCTTGACAAGTGGTGCCATGTCTGTACCCAGGATCCAAAACGGCAAACCACTGCACCACTGAGCTGGCCCTGCACTTGGTTTTGAATAATCCTGTGAGGAGTTAAAGGGGGAGGTCTAGTGACAATTACTTCTCTTGGATGATGAGTACATCGGATTTATTATAGTATTTTTTTCTATGTTTAAGCCTGTGACATTTTCCATCATGAATTTTTTAAATTAAAAAATAAATTTAGCTTTAACAAACCAGGTGGAGAGAATTTCATAAATCATCAGGATAAGTGACGAGCTTTCAGAATTTTCATCCCAAACATTTGAAGGGTACGTATATACATATATACCTGTGGGAATGTTATAGAGTTCATTCAGCATAAATACTACAGTTGATTTGGACCCAACGTGCACTTATCTTGAAATTAGCATGAATCTAATAGTTTTCATCATAAGACATTCTCGTGTTTATCAACACCCTGGAGAAATATTTGAGGTAAATCTAACGCTGTTTGTTCATTCTATCGTATGTGTCTCTCACCAAGATCCTAATATTTGTTTTTCAGGTACAGCAGGTACAGACTGTGCAGCAGGTACAACATGTCTATCCAGCTCAGGTGCAGTATGTGGAAGGAAGTGATACTGTCTATACCAACGGAGCAATGTAAGTTTAGGAGTGGGAGTCTTTCTAATTCTCCCACCCACAAAAAAATAGTGTACTTTCTGACAAATCCTCCTATTCTCAAATTGTTTCCTTGTCACAATAATTTTTTGCTAGAACAGAGTTATTAAAATTAAGCTGATGTTTAGAGCTTTGTCTGTATTTTTAAGGATCTTTGCTCATTCTTCTCTCACTTAACCCCAGTGGAATACTTTAAACTATTAACATTGCTTTGCTCTGACCTTTAATCGTTTTCAGTAGGTTGAGAAAAATATATATCCCTTGTTAGTGGTTTCTGTATTTTAATAATACCTAATAAAACCTATACTTTTTGTTTGTATAAATAAGGTGAATTTGTGTGTATATATTTGTCTGAAAACTAATATAAAACTAGTACATTAGGAGTTTTGATGGGTTTTTCTTTGCATTTATTAAAGAGGTGCTTACTCTACATAAAAGTACCTGATACTTAATAAATCTTATTTTCCTATCTGATCTTTTTCCCCCTGCATCTCATCTCCTTTGCATCGACAATAATATAAATTTGTAAATTTATTTCATCTGGGTTTTTCAGCCACTTTAGATTAAGATTCAAGATGTTATGATAAGTAAAAGGACTGAGAACTATTACAAGTCACCAGGACTGTTCTCATTTACCACTTGGGTTTTTGTTTGCAGCCTGTTGGATCTCTGGGTTTACCTGAAATGAATTCAAATTCTCTCAGTGACTCTTTTGCCCATCTCCCTTCAATGTTGGTGTGCCCCAGGTTGATAACCTCTGCTTTCTTTATTCTTAGTGCACCTTTTGTTTCCTTGGGTGATTTCATAGATTCCTATGACATCAACCTGTAAGCTCCACAAGGACAGGGACTTCTGTTTCTTTCTCTACTGCAATAAATCCAACACCAGAAGAGTGCACGGTACATAGAAAGAGCCCAGTTTTTGCTACCTATTATTGTAACTAGATAACTTTAGAATCCTGGCTTAAACATAGATTAGTTTTATAATCATGGTCAAGGTACTTAACCCTGAGCTTTTTTTTATTCTTTCCTGGGAACTAGGAGAATAATAACCTCACCCTTATTAGGTTGTTGTGAGGATTTGAGGAAGTATATTTAAAGCGACTAGCACAGGGCCTGGTGTACAATGGAAGATGCGAAAGTGAAAGCTCTTCATTGACCCTGACTCTTCTCTCTTTTCTCATTGCTTTTGGACATTGAATCTCTCTACTTCACACTGCCTTAAAACCTCTATTACCTGTAAAATAAAACTCAACTCTCCACCTTGGTATTCTCCCCATTCCTACCTCTCTAGCTTCGTCTTCCACCTGTTGTAGGAACGAACAACTTTGTGCATGTGTCCCCGAATGTTCCCTTTCATGCCTCTCTATTTTTGGACATGTGGTTTGTTTTCTCTGCTGGAATATCATTATTCTCTGCCTTCTCTCTCTTCTTCCCAGCCCCCTACACCCAGTCTAGTGTGATCTTTATATACTGACACTTCACCCCCTTCTTTGTGATGTGGACCCTGACTCTGCTCTGTAGTTAACTTATTGCTCCTCTGTGGGGTAAGGACAGAGTAAGGACAGCGCTCTCCCCTGACTTTGACTTTCAGCATGCTGCTGTGTTTTAGATTTATTGTCCTAGGAAGAACTCTTCCTGAATGGGAACCGTTGTCGTTTTGTTGTTTTATTTACATCTATTTAAGTGATTGGCACATAATAAAAGGTCAATAAATATCCGTTACTCTAGTGAATCTATAACTCTTTACATATTTTAGACATACTCTGAGCATTTTTTACCTGTTTGTCACGTAGGGCCTCCTGGAGCCTGCTTTTGAATTCTCTACCACAAACCCAAATTACTGTTGGCATTTATACCAAATAAAAAGAGATGCCTGCCACTTGGACCTTTATGCTATCAGGGAAAATAAATGAGTTCTGGACACTGCTAGAGGTTACTCAATTGTATTGTCATTTTATACTTGTCCGTGGTATATTTGTCACAAGAACCTCAGAGTAAAGTCATTGTATACTCTCCTTTGTTCAAGCATGTACCATGTCCTACCTAACTTTGTTCTCCTAGTTCAAAGGCATCCTGGGTAAAGGCGTGCTATACCCCCGCTAGAGGACTGAGTTATCACTCTGCTGTCTATTTCCATAGCATTTCATCTTGCATTTATTACAGCATTTATCAGCTAAGAATCCAAGAAAATCTGACAAATAGAGGTTTAAACAAATTAGGGCTTTTATTTTTGTTAGGTAATAAGAAGTCCAGAGGTAGCATATTATGCAAATCACTAGCACCGAGGTAGCATATTATGCAAATCACTAGCACTATGTGGTGCAAATATAGAATAAGCCTTATTGGAGAAAATCTTACAAGCTGGCGTATAGCTGAGGGAGCATAGCTAGACTGGAGGCACCATGGAAATTGTGTGTATATATACACACACACACACGCACGCACACACATATATGTGGAGATATATGCACAGAAAGTTCAAATATATTGAAATATATGTGGAAATTCCTGATTCGTTTAGGAGACACTTCACTTGTCTCTTGCACAGTTCAAAGGTGAATATTTCCAGGGATTTTTTTAATGCTTTTTTTTGGAAAGAGGAAAACATGCATTAGAAATGTAATTATCTAATTTCTACAACACTGGACTGCTAGGAGTAAGTTTTTAAAGATTGTTGCTCTACATAAATAAACTGTTCGAAATTCAAGTACAAAAACACCTGAAATAAGATACGTTGTCTTTTGGGCCGTGATAAAGTGCACTGTAGCAGTGCCATTTGCCACGGACCCAACTGCAGCCCTTCTGTGTGTGCATCTCCTTCTGAGTTCTTTTGCTGTTGTTACACACACAGGCCTTTCTGTCTGCTCCTTAAAAAAGCCAGGCTTCCAAAGCATTGTTGAACACTGAGGATTCTACTGTTAACGTGGATGTTTGATGAGTTGTATTTTAAATATCAAAGATTATTAAATAAAGATAATGTTTGCTTTTTTTAAAAAAAAAAAAAAAAAGCCTATTCTTCCACCTTTCCTCTTCTTGCTGTCTGCAATATATACATATATACATACATACATGCATGCATGCAGAGGCTTTCCCAGAAACTCCCAGCTCCCTTTTGCTTTCATCTCCTCAGCTATAACTGTGTCACATAGTAGTGATGAGCTGTAGGGGAATCTGGGAATGCAAGTTTGTAGCTTTCGTGCCTGTTTAGTAGAAGGCATCAAGGGAAAAGGACAGTTGGAATGGGTGTTGAAAGAGTTAACTATACAGTATCTATCACAATCAGTTATCATTGGTCCCAGGTATGGTGGAGAGATGTGAAAGAAAAACAACCTGCTTCTCTTTTTCCATCTATAAAATGAAGATAGTTGGCTTATCAAAAATGCTTTGTATAGCATCTGAGAAATAGTAAACACTCAATAAACATTAGTTGTTGCTGTAAAATTATGTGCTATTAGTTCTTTATTTTACATTTTTCTTCCCTATTTATGATTCTAAATTATGCCTATTGCCTTGTGCATTTTTAAACTCCCCCATCGCTCACCTTAGGGTCCTCCACATAATAAATATATGTGTGATCAGTGAATTAATTCGTTCACAAAACCTTAGAAAAACAACATCTCTAAAGTTCACTCTCTAAAATTATAGGCCCATTTAAGTACAGGAATGATTCAAAGTAAATGTGTAGTGCCAACATATATTTTCTATGGCCTACTAGCCCCAGTTGGTTAGATCATGACTAATGAGGTCTAGGTCATGAGTTCATTTTCTACAAAGTCCAATTAGCTTTGATCTGGTCTCTGTGGGCCCAGATTGTATCCTCAACTCCAGCCAATCATCTCACAGATATGCACCCTTGGTCAAGAGAAAGAAGATGCATTTTTAAAAATCTTTCACTACTATCAAGTGTAATTTTTGGCTAAAGATTCTATAGCATCATTTTCATATTTACTGAAGAAACACTGTGTTGCCATGAATGATACTCAAAATTTTAGTAGCTAGAGGACTATGAATATGTTTCTCAAATATAACCAAAAAAATTTTTTTAGCATAAGCCATTCCAATCTTTCTGTAGTTTTGTAGTGCTGACATTTGACAATATACAATTTTTATCTCTAATGTTCAGTTTAGGGTCTTTATATTCTCTCTTTTTATTTGCTACACGTCCATGTGTGGTAGGAAAGAGTATTCCATATTCTTCTATTCCTTTATATTGAACTAATAGCCAGCTAGTGTTTGATCCCAGACTTGGATCACAGTCAGATTCCCACTTCTGTGTGGTAATAAATGCTTTTTGCTAATGATACTCCCAGAAGATAGTGATGCTGATCTTTATCATGAACTTTCAAGCACCTAATACATGGCCATACAACCTGAATCCCCTGTCACAGCATCCCCGTGCTTTGTAGACATAATGCATGGATTCTCACTCAAGAGGTGATGATAGCCCTCACAGAGATGTGTCGTCACTTATGAAAAAGTGTAATCATTATAATTTGATGATACTAAGTGTTTACCTGATTCTCGCTGTGGATATGAACAATTACTGCCAGCATAACAGGCTTTACAGTGTGAGTTAGTGAGTGAGCATATATTTCAATTGAACAATTCAGACTGCTTTACGGTGCTGGATGTTGGAGTAGAATAGCCTTTTACTCAAGAGAGAAGATAACTTAATTCACTTTTGCTCCTGTTTATTTCATCATTGCATCTATAGTCACCCAGGCTATACCATCTGTACATTTCCTTGCTATAGTTTTCCCAAAAAGATGTTTTCAAAGGCTGGATCATATTCTTATCCATTTCTGCAGATTCTTACAATTTATCATCTCTAATTATTTAGAATACTGTAATTAAACCCACTGGGAAACATTGCATACCATGTAGAGAGAGTCCAATTCACTTGAAATTTCTTGAGGTAGCTAAGAAATCAGGTTTTTTAGTAAAATGATTTTGTTCTTTCCCTCACTACTTTTTTAACTC